TCGCTTGGCAGTAGAAAAAAAGACTTTGACTCTTTGGGGGAAAGTAGTGGTGCTTTTCTAGAAAGCATTCTGGCTGGGTTAGGTTGCAGTAACAGAACTGACTGTATTTCAAACACTGGAAGTGGTTATCAGAATCTGGGGACAAATGATTTCAGAACTCATCCTTAGTGACCGTGTCATGCCAGCTGGCACCACTCTAATAACCATTTTGATGTTTACATCCATAGGTCCTTCTCTAGTCTGTCTGCTATCCAGATTTATCCGTGCAACACATGAGCACTGTCCCCTTGATGTGTGAATTCCCATTCCAGCCTTGGATTCAAAGACTGCCACCTAATAATGATGTCTCAGTTCAGCAGGAAATGGCTAGAATGATCTCAGTGCCACCTAGCTGCCACCTCCTTTTCTGTAAAATTGTCCTTCTGTTCCTTTTACATAGACAAAAGGCTGAAAATATTATGTCATGTAAGTGAGGAGTGCATCCATCTCAGAAACGGGCCTTCCAGGGGGCAAAACCCTAAACAGAGAGAGCTGCAGGCAAGGGTATACTCAGCTTCCCTGGCGCCCAGGGCCTAGAAGCTGCTGAGCACTGGCACACTGCATAACTCATATATTTACAAGGCTCACTGCCCTGCAGAATTTTCCAAATGCTTTTTTTTTTTTAACCCTGAGATGTGTTTGAGACTTACTAAGCACCTGGCTGAGCCCAAACTACAAAATTTGTAGTACCTATTAACCCAATTTGGTAATGTCAACCAATTTGGAGCTTTCTTTTTTTTTAAGATTTTATTTGTATTTTATTATGTATGCAGCATTCTGCTTCCATGTATATCTGCACACCAGAAGAGGGCACCAGATCTCATAGCAGATGGTTGTGAGCCACCATGTGGTTGCTGGGAATTGAACTCAGGACCTCTGGAAGAGCAGCGGGTGCTCTTAACCTCTGAGCCATCTCTCCAGCCCCCCAACTTGGGGCTTTCTTATGGCACCCTTCTCCCTCACCACAGGATCTTCAAAGAATGCCCTTTGCTTTCCCTGGGTGTCCTAAAACATTACCTCAGACCATACTGTGCCACTGGCTTGAATAAACCTTTTGTCTGAAAATTGTTCAGACTCTGTGCCTCCTTTGACCTACAGTGATGGCATAGCTGAGCATTTGTTGAAATAAAACAGTATAGTTTACCGCATCAATTGACTCTTCCTTTCCTTAAAGAATTTCTCTGTAGCATGCTATGTTTGAACTTTAATTGCAGTTAGTGCTTTCATGCCCTTGTCCTGTGCTATCAACTACATGGATGTAATATTTTAAATTCTTTGTGATATAAACAGTTTTTACAGTCTCTTCACCAGGTATAAAAGCCATCTCAAGAAACCTGTATTTTCTTATAAGAAAGCAAACTCCTCATCCATTAAAGTTTTGTTCATAAGATTGCAGCAATTCTGTAATTTTTTTAAGATTTATTTTTCTGTGTGTGTGTGTGTGTGTGTGTGTGTGTGTGTGTGTGTGTGTGTGTGTGTCACAAACGTGTGTGTGTATGCATGTATGTGAGCATATATGCTTGCAGAAGCTGGCAAAAGGTGTCAGATCTCCTGGACCTGGAGTCACAGGTACTTGTGAGCTTCTATGTGGGCACAGAGAACCAAATCTGTGGCCTCTGTTAGAGCAGCTGGTGCTCTTACCTGCTGAGCCATCTCTCCAGTCCCAACAATTCAGTAACATTTTAAGACTCATTTCCTAATTCTACTTGTAATATTTTTACTACATGAGGTTCCTTCCTCTGTTAAAATCTTGACCCATTCCCAAGGTCACCCATTAGGGTTGGAATCAATTTTTTTGCAAACTCCTGTTAAATTCTTTTTTTTTTCCTATGCAGAGGTTGCTGGAACACACTATGCAACTGCTCCATCACTATACTACTCCCCTAAAGCCCTACTGTTGCTATTTTAATCACCTCTCAAACAGATCACAAAGGAAGTGTAATACATACAGCTATTGTTTGTAATTCAGTGGCAGAGTGCTTTACCAGCATGAATGAGCTCTTAGGTTCAATCCTCAGTAATGGCAAAAGAAGAAAAAAGAGAAATGTAATTCATAATTAAACTTAATAGTCAAAATTATTCCTTCATTGAAATATGGGTGGAGAGATGGATACTGTGTTATTAGGCGGCATGAAAATATCAAGCTAATAGCACATCATCCTCATTGCTTTTAGGTGAACAGACACAGCCTCGGAAAGTCAGGTTTGGATGGCAGGCACCTTTACCCACTGAACCATCTCACTGGTTCTTGTATAGACCTTTCAACTTTGCTTTTCTGAATTCCTTAGTTTTTATGGCTGGTCTTCATGATAATATTGTTTTGTCTAAAAAATGCTTTATCTGCCAAAATGACCAGAACAGAAGAAAACTTGAAGAATAATTTAGGATCAAATGATTAATAATTTTATTCAGACTATGCAATGAGAAATAAGAGTTGCAGTAATTTTGTTTTAAGAGACAAAGTTTCTTGGTTTAACTCTGGCTGTCCTGAAACTCACTCTGTGCTGGGATTAAAGGCTTGCACCACCATGCCTGGCTGCAGTAATTTTTTAGTGCTAAAGTCCTTAAAGATACATTGAAATATATGAGTTTAAAATAAAAACCTTTTATGATTAAATATACCACAAACAATTCAGAAGAAACTTACCTTGCTTTGCATGTAAACAACAAAGCCTTACGAATTATGGTCTTAAAGAGTTAACAGGAAAATAGGTAATTAGGCAAAAGATATGACTAGATGATAATTAGTGAAGAAAAAGGACACTAAGAGAAGGTAAGATCCAGTAGTAATAGAGCATCTTCTCATCCGGTCTGGGATAAAATTCAGCACAAAAGGATTGTGGCGATAGGAAAGACACTTTGTGTGGTGCTAGTGGGGCAGTCATTCATCCCTTTCTTCTTGAATAGATGTCTTGGCTTCCTGCAAGCAGCCCTAACCCCCCAACTCCCCTTTGTGCTTGTTTGGCCACATTTTTTTGCCCGGCTCCCCGTAGTAGCTTTGATTTCATTGCTTTTGGTGCTTGAGAAATAGAGACCCGTTGATGCTTCTTACACATTATTAATGTGTTCTTGTTTGTACAGTATTTCTACTTTGAGTTGGTTTGCTTAAGTTCACCATGACTAATACTCTCCAGTCTATTATTTTTTTTATAATATACAACTTGTTTCCAAGTATTAAGGAAATAAAGTTTATCACAGGTTAAATAAAATCATTCATAAAATTAGCATCCACTGGCTCTTTTAGTCGTCGTCCTGGTTGTTGTTGTTGTTGCTATTGTTGCTGCTGTTGTTTTTTGAGACAAGATCTTGTGTATCCCAGGCTGGCCTCAAATTTGCATTCCCAGTGTAGATGAGGATAGCCTGGAACTTGTGATTGTCCTGACTTCCAAGTGTCGAGGTGACAGGCATAAACCACCACAGCCTTGCAAACTGATTTAGTATTGCAAGCAGAGCATCAACATTATTACATGTATAATAACAACATAATAAATATATTATTCTACCTGCCTGTTCATGAAATCTTTTTGAAATTAATTTTTTTAGTTAGCAAACAAAGCATTGGCTTTCATTACATCATTTGCATCCATATGTGACATTATGTTTGATTCTTTTTTGGGGGAGTTTGAGACAGGGTCTCTATATAACCTTGGCTGCCTTGGATCTCTCTTTGTAGACCAGGCTGGGCCTCAAAATCACAAAAATCCCACATGCCTTTGCCTTTGTCTCCTGAGTGCTGGGATTAAACACAAACTGAATGTGCCTAGTTTAATAGTTCTACTTTGAATCTCTTGAGGACTCTCCACACTGAATTCCATAGTGGCTGCATCAGTCAATAGTAAACAACAATAGTGAATAAAGGTTTCCCTTTCTCCACATCCTTGCTGGTTTCTTCTTTCTTCCTTTCTTCCTTCCCTTCTTCCTTCCTTCCTTCCTTCCTTCCTTCCTTCCTTCCTTCCTTCCTTTCTTTCTTTCTTTCTTTCTTTCTTTCCTTTTTGTGTTGATAATAGCCACACTCACTGGGGTGAGATAGAATCCATTTGAAAATAGTTCTAATTTGCATTTCCCAGATGGTTTGGGATGATGGATATTTTCAAATATTGGCCATTTGCGTTAGCATTTTTGTGTGTGTTCAGTTCATTTAGTAGCCTTATATTTGTGGGATTTTGTGGGGGTTAGTTTTTGGAGTTCTTTATAAGAACTTGCTAAATACAAATAGATGTGAATTCTTTGTCTAACATAAAGTTGGCAAGGGCTTTTTTTTTTTTTTAAGCCCATTTAAAAGCCTGTTCCATCAGATGACTGTTCCATCATTCTCATGACAATATTTGTTAAATGTTCTAGATGTTATTTTTTTTGTTATTTTTAAATTGTGTGTGTGTGGTGTGTTTGTGTGTGTGTGTGTGTGTGTGTGTGTGTGTGTGTGTGATGAGGATAGAGTCAGAGAACAACTTTGTGGAGTCAGTGCTCTCCTCCCAGCTTTATATGACTTCAAGGGTGGCATGCATGTTATCTGCAGAGCCAGCACCCCACCCCCGCCCCATATTGTTCTTTTTGTAACATCATAGTCCTTAGAAAACACTGTTTTCATCTATCACAAATTGCAGGGAAAGGCATGGGTAAAGGAATAGCAACAGGGAATGTCAATATAATGATAGAAGAGCTCTGCCCATCCACAACTGTGCTCATTACACAAGTCTATGCATGTAATAACATGCAGTGTTAATGTGCTTGGGTATTGCTGAGGAAATCTGGGTTTTGTGTGCAAGATGGCTATATTGTCTTTGTTTCATACTAATAATTTCTAGCATACCATGTAAAAGTGAAAATCATCAGGATAAAAGAAAAAAGAGTAACAGTTTGCAAATAATAATAAGAAAAAATGGGAAACTATCTGAGCAACAACTAAAAGATTAGTAGGGGTTGGGGATTTAGCTCAGTGCTTGCTAGGGAAGCTCTGGTTTCTGTCCTCAGCTCCAGGTTTCAGGGAGCAGCAAAATAACAAAAAGATTAGCAAAAAAACTGACTACAAGATGGGCCCCCCTGCCTGGGGTTCATCCCCAAATTCCACTTTTGTGATAAAACAAAGAACAGAATTTATCATAAATGAAACAAACACTGAACTGAATGGAAAAACTGTTTCAACATTTTATGTGACTTATGTAAAGACAGCAATTCTAGTTTCTCATTATTAATTAAAACAATTTGCCAGGTGGAAAGTTGAGGACACAGAATAATAAAAAAAATAGGATGTATTGGTACACAGAAGATAATTACACATTCTGATTCAAAAGAGAATAAAATCACAGAGGCATGTATTAACAAAGTTTTCACATGCATATTTCAAAACAAAACTGTTGAAATGACTACAGTGATTTATGAAGGTGCGTATAACAAAAAGACTCCAATTGTCATTTCAAAGATTCAATATCAGAAGAAGGAATGGGCTAATATGTAGAAAGGTTCCTTTCAAAATTAAGTTTTCAGCATCTTAAAATAGAGTATTACAACTTTAAGGTGTCTTAAGGATACTTCATGGGTATTTCATACTACAAACAAAAACTAAAGCAAATAATCAAAAAATAAAGAGACAAGCACGGTGACAGGAAGAAAGAGAGAAGGAAGGAGGAGGAGGTCAAAATATTAACATCAATTTTCAAGTTATTCAGCAAAAGAGAATAGCCAGACATAACGGTGCTTTCCTATAATCCCATGTCTGTAAATTCAAGGCCAGCCTGATGTGAGCTCCAGACTAGCCAGAGCTACACAGTGAGACCCCATCTCAAAAAACAAAAGGGAGAAGAATAAAGGAAGGCAGGAAGGGGGTTGGAGAGAAGAGGAGTGCAATTCTTCCAAAATCATTCTATGTTGAGCAGCATTACAGTTACATTGCTGTGTCACTTTTTCTGGGATTATGGAAACAAACATCTATTTACCCCAGACAGGGCACCAACAGCCCCCTCTGCCCCCCAAAAATAAAGGATTCTATTTGAGTCCAATTTAGTGAAGCATTGAGTTTACTAAGCTAATTTACAGGGGCACTAATGAGGGGTTATTTACAGGAGTGTAGTGACTCCAGAGCAGTTAGGAAAGAAAAAGTAATGACGGTCACACAATTGGAAGACGGGATGTGTTGTTACCGCTGCTTGAAGATGACATAGCATTACATGGCAAACTCCAAAGACTCCACCTAGAAATTATTGTAACTCAAAAATTCAGCAAAGCTACATGATACAGAATGCATAAAATGTCATTTGTGGAACCTCTTTGCTGCTGCCTGTGGCGGGGTCCCCCCGCCCCTGCTGGCTCCTTCCAGGGCATCCTGTCTTGCTCTTACTCAACATCTTAACCATCATCATCCTGCTGGTGCCCTTGATTTGGTGGAGATGCTTCAAAGA